ATTTACATTATCAAAATTACTATAATCAGAGTCTTTTCTGCATTAATCAGGATTTAGAAGGAAAAAAAACATTTCTGTTTTGTAATACCAATCAAAACGGCAGTGGAGCAAAAGCAGATCTTTTAATTAAAATTATTTTGTGCATTACGCTGCTCTTTTAAAAAAAAAAAAAATTTGCATTAACCTGGGATCAAACTGCACTTCTAATGTTTCATATACTGTAAAATGAGATTTTTGGCAACAAAACACATGTAAAAATAATACCTATTAGTTTAAATAATACTGTAAAACCAAACCTTTTACTTTTGGAATAATGCCAGTGGAAATTTGATTGTAGATTGTGTGCAAGTCTATCTTATTTTAATGGTAACTATATAATCATGTTTCATTTTGCAAAGCTAACTCAGTGCATTTCTGCTGACCCTGAATCTCCCCCTTAAACCACTACAGTAGCACTGCATTTTAAATGACTAAATATACAGAAAGGAGACAAATATTTGTACACGTTACTCATTATTGTCTTTGGTATTGACATTAAGATTGACATTTTTATTAAGTACAATGTTTTAACCTTGACATCTTAGCGCTTTACTTTCTATTAAGTATTCTGGTATGTACTGGTTTTGCATTCATAACACTGAATGCTCAATTTTGGCCTCATGACTGGACTCAGCTGAAATAGGTGGGGTTTTGGAAAGTTAAACCAGAAACTTAATGTCCAGAACATCATACCCTGGGGTGTCTTAGCTTGCAGCAAATGAACAACTGCATGACCACTATATCTGTGATGATAACTGGGCTTGCACAAAGGAAGCATATGGGGGCATTATTCTGAGGCGTGCATCTAACAGGGGTTCATGTGTTTTGCAGCCCTCAGACAGGTCTGAAACAAAGGACTAAAATGTTGCAAGTAGATTTTCCTGGTTCTTCCTATTCTCTTACCCATAGCAACACTTCCAGTGCTTTTCAGGCACCTGTTGAGGGCTACAGAGCTCTGGGCCTATTACTGCTGCTATTCAAGTCAAGAGAGGTTCTGACACTCACTGTATTTCAGTGAAAGCAAGGATTACATCCGACATCCACTGCACTGCACCCTCACATTCAGTCTACTTACATTTAAATCAGGGAAATTTACACATAAAGATTCATAAAGATGAACATCTAGAATTATACCCTAAAATGTGATGCACCTAATTGCTTTGGGAAATCATAGAGAGATGATCAACAATACAGAACATTGTATGGTGTCTATCAGAAACCAGGATAATTCAGATTAAAGCATAATAAAATACATCATTACCTTTGCTACATTCGGTAAGTTGTAATTGATAGTCTCAGCAAAAAGATACTACAAAGGGGCTGCAGTATTCTGAACTCGCCATCTTCAAACCTGTTGCTTTCCTGTATTTGGTTAATCAAGTTTTATCTTGCAAGCTGCAAAATGCATCAGCAGAGATTTGACATTAGCAATGCAAATGCACAACTGTTTCCTACACACTGTTAATACGATTACATTGATTAGAAAAGCAGTAGTTTTGATCAGTGGCTAGAATGACATCTTCCAAGTGATAGGCATGTGAGGACTGTCTCCCTCTTTGCTTTGTCTTTCTAAAGGTATTTCACTCAGTCCAATCTTAAAAGTATGGAAAAAAGTAACAAGGTTAAAAACCAATATCATGTCTTTTAAACTGATGTTTGCTATGAAATCAAGTAGAAAGACAATGGTAATTAAGACACAGAAACTGCACTGCAATACCTTGTGAGCAGAGTCAAAGTGCTATTAAAAAAGGCAAGGCCAGATAAAAGGACCAGAGTATTGTAATGGAAAAAAACACCACAAATATTGAAGTCCTTGTTTTACAACTCCCAAAACAATTGCTAAAAGCAGCAGTTTATATTCTCATGTGGATCATGAAATAGAATTTGAACTATTTTTTCCCCCCCTAATGACGGGAGAGGGAAGTCGGCCGACGTGGATACTGTCCGTGCATCTTCGGGGTTAAACAGACTATTATACACAATATTATAATGCAATATTATATACAATATTATAAATGCAATATTCTAGCATTTGCTATTCTGAGGCAAGTGAGGACAGAAATCTGCTTCTTTCATACAGTATTACGTTCATCCAGATTTTAGTGGCAGTACCAATATAAGAAATAAAGGCAACCCAAATGGACACTTTTTTGGTTTAAAAAAAAGAAGGGTTCGCAAAACGTGTTTCCAGCTGCTTGGTAATATACAAGTTTTGGTAATGCTCCCTCTTAGCTGGAAACAACTAAGCCCAGTGCCTAGCCCCAGTGAATAGCTCCGGTTAACTTAGATCAGCGTTATTCTGTTGCTGAGTATCTGGGAAAAAAGTGTTATAGATAGGCAAACTTAATCTTGGAAGTTGAGTTTCTTGTGTACTTTTAGTAACATTTTATGGGTTACTCTAGCAGAAATGCGGGGAATTTTACAATGGTTTTTAATATTCAGGATTGTAAAAATACTTAGATGATTCTTCAAGCAAATGTATATACCCTACATAAAATTTCCTTCACCACAAGTGTTTGAAATTCTACCGTTCCCCTTTTGGGCATGAACACAACTCGTTCAAAACCTGTTCTCAGCGCAGCCCTCTGGATATTTCAAGAAGCCTCCGAACATGAAGGTGTAGTCTGAGGATGGACATGGAAGGACAAACATTTTTTAATGGAAAACTCAGAGAAAAAAAGTTAGATAATGCAGTTATATTAAAAGGCATGTTTCCAAAATACAACTTAGATTTAATACCATTGGAGACTTCCTCAAGCTCTGTATTTATCTAACCAGTCACTCATTGCTGTCATAATTGTCTGTAAAATAAGCAATTATAAACCCCAGTGTCACCAATAAAGGCCTCCAATTCAATCCAACAAACTTGTTTTTCATATTAAACCCTTAAACACTTTATTCTGCAACCATTTTCATGTGAGTGGAAACAGAACAATTAAAGTATTCAACATTTAAATAACCCCAATGACTCCATTTCCAGTGCTTTCAGCCAGAATTAATAAATGTTTATCGTAAGATCATGATTTAGTGTTAAATTGAACCTTTGTTCAAAATAATTTCTGGCACTGTTTCAGCCTGCAGAATTTAAAATGATCTTTGCTGATTTGCATTTTCCAGTTACTTTTGCTTCTGTAGTGGCTTTTTCCTGCCTTCAATTTTGTCAGACGTATTCCAAGCGTACTTTTGAGACTCATCCTTTCTGTAAAACATGTATAGCAGATAAACCAGGCCTCTGAAGAAGAGGGAAAAAAAAAAAAAAAGAGGAAAATGAAGAAATGAAAATGGAAATGAGTCGAAACTAGGTTTAAAGCATGTGTCTTTATGAAGGAGGTTTAATCACACACTTCATTTTGCAAACACAAAAAGTCTTTTGGAAATGTATTAATTAAAATTAAATACTACAGGCAAGCAGATTTGAAGGGGCTGCAGTCCTCTTCAAATTAGCATAACACTAGCGACAGGCATGGAAATTGGTTTAATAACCCTAAATAGTTACACCCTATTCTTAACACAAATGGCCAGAGACAGGTCTAGCCCCTCGGGCTGCTGCTGTACCAGTTTACGTGGTAGCTCTGACATTGGGTGGCGAATATTCCTATCTGAACACAAATCACAGAACGCATCTCAATTATTATTATCTAATGAGCAGTGAAGCATACAAGGCACCAAAGCATTTGAAAAAAAAAGAAAAAAGAAAAGAAAAGACAAGAAAAAGAATAAAGCCAAGACTACCTTAGGTACTACCTAAGAGATCACTTCGTAACTTGGACCGATGTGCGTCTGTCTATGCTTGATGATTTTAGAGAGAACTTGATGGCTTGAGCACTGCACAAAATTGTGGGATCAGGTTGAGGATACACCGTAGAAAACAAAGCAAAGAGAGCAGCTATCTCCTTCCCCGACAGGCTTTACTTAGTTTAATCTACCCACTGCCAAAAGCTACCCACCCACCCCCACAATTTTTAATACAGCTGAAGTTTTGAGGGCAAAGGATGCTACAGTCAGCTATCGAAAGCCAAGAACGAAAACCGTCCTGTCCCCAGCTTCACTCCAAATGACACGAGGAAGCCACCGTTTTCAAAATCAAGATGTATGTGACAAGCCAGAATGATAGATGGATTGACCTTGCAGACTTGGAAGCAACTCTGCCTAACTCCCCCACCAGTTTAAGCCTCTCCGGAGGACGCTAACAAGCGGCTTCCCACACCCTTTACTGCCCTTGTGCATTTTCCTAAGAGCTCAGAGAGATGTAGGACAGAGCAAAAAAAAAAAAAAAAAAAAAAAAAGATTATTCATGTCTTTTATTGAGTTATAAATACATAGAAATATGTCGAGCGACTTTCTCTTTCGTATTGTTTGCCCTGGTGAGTCATGACTTTGGAAAATCATCTGGAAAAAACTCAAGTTGAGAAACAGGCAAAAAAGCAGGCAACAGTGTACAATCAAATACTTCTGTCAGTCCAATAGCGGGTCCTTAACTTAAAAAAAAGGGAAAAAAAAAAAAAAAAAAGAGGAAAATCTCATATAGAAGCATCCACAGTTTTACCAGCACCCTCTCCCTCCCTGCCACCCTGCAAACCCGTAGAAAAGTGCTCTCAATTCTCCCTACGGACAAACCCCTCCAGCCTCCCCCTTGCATCTTAATAAGCGATTTTTGCATTCGGGGACAGTCGCATGGTTTTGAGACACCATCTCCGCTTTAAACCTTGGCTTATCCTGCTCTGCGACCGGAGCTGCGGTCAAGGTGAAATCCATCAAACAGGTGGGCCAGGGAAGGGAGAGGGGGGCGGCATCAAGCCAGGGTGAAGTGAAAACAGGATGGTGGTCCACAGGTGAAGTTAAAACGGGACGGTGGTGCAAAGAAAGAGAAGAGAAGAGAAGAGAAGAGAAGAGAAGAGAAGAGAAGAGAAGAGAAGAGAAGAGAAGAGTCATCCGGAGGGGGAGAGGGCTGGAGGGGGAAGCAGAGCCGGCGGAGGGGCCGGGCCGGGCCGGGCCGGGCAGTCAGGGCTTATCGCTACAGTGTTTGCAGAGCGCGGAGGCCCCCGCGAAGGCGCCGCACTTGTCGGGGCAGCCGGGCACGGCGGAGCCGGCGAAGGGGTAGACGGCGGACTGTCCGAAGGGGGCTAGGGGGGCGCCCAGCGCCTGCCCCTGGTTCAGGTAGGCGACCAGGCGCCGCATCTCCTCCAGGGCCTGCGCCTGCATGAGGATGTAGTTCTTGGCCAGCAGCAGCGTGGCGATCTTGGAGAGCTTGCGCACGGAGGGGCTGTGCGCGTAGGGGATGACGGAGCGCAGCCCGTCCAGCGCATCGTTCAGGTCGTGCATCCTGCGCCGCTCGCGCGCGTTGATGCTGAGCCGCAGCGAGCGCTGCTCCTTGGGCTTCTTGCCCAGCCCGCCCGCCTTCAGCTTGCCGCCCTTGGCCGCCGCCTCGAAGGCGTCCTCCTCCTCGCCGCTCTGCTCGCCGCTGCTCTCCGCCGCCTTGCCCGCGAAGTCCCCGCCGCCCGCGCCCGCGTAGCCCCGCGGGCCCTCCGCGCCGTAGGCGAAGGGGGGCCGGGCCGAGCCCCGCGGCGGGGAGCGCTCCAGCCCGGCCGGCCCGCGCCGTGCCCTGGCTGGGGGCGGGCTCTGCCTCGCCGCCCCTCCCCGTTATATTGCGCCGAGCGGCCCCGGGGGCGCGGCGACCGCCCAATCGCAGCCCCGCGTGTCACGCGCGGGGTGGGCGCTCAGTCCCTGCCGGCGGGGGGGGGAGCGCAACTTTGCCACTGCTGCCCCGTGCAGAGGAGGAAAATGAGCCTTTCTGCCCGCTTTTGCACTGATGGGAAGTCACTGCCGGGTTAAGAGAAGGAAAATGATCCTTTTCCACTGATGGGAAGTTGCTGCCCCGTTAAGAGAAGGAAAATGAGCCTTTCTGGTGGCTTTTCCACTGATGGGAAGTCACTGCCTGGTTAAGAGAAGGAAAATGATCCTTTCTGGTGGCTTTTCCACTGATGGGAAGTCACTGCCTGGTTAAGAGAAGGAAACTGATCCTTTCTGGTGACTTTTTTACTGATGGGAAGTCGCTGCCAGGTTAAGAGAAGGAAAATGATCCTTTCTGGTGTGGGAATAAAGAAAAAAGTCACTGTGTTTGGGGAGGGCAGAAGGCATGATCCCACCTTCCTGGCTTCTCTGGTGTCCCCTGATCATTTGCTGCCCTCTACCACTTTTTTCTTTCAAGTTCACACAGGTGCTTCGTGCACGCTGTGGACTGGGCATTGGGCATGGCTCTGTGCTCTTCACACGAAAAAAAATGATCGTGGGAGAAAGTGCTGGTGGTTACAACATCGAAACACAAACCCAGGCTACGTGGCAGAGGGCACCAGGTATTGGCCATGGCTCCGTGCCCTTTACAAGAAAAAAATGATCCTGGGAGAAAGTGCTGGTGGTTATAACATGGAAACACAAACCCAGGCACGTAGCATGGGAAGGGCCTCTCAGGATGCATTGGGCATAGTTAAAGGTCCAAGTTCCTAATTTTCTCCATTCCTAAGAGGGCCTCTGGTCACAATTTTATGCCACAAAATCCCTAAAAGTAAATGTGCCTGGAACAACAAACAGGCACAGCTCCTTTTCAAGCTGCCTTCCCTCTTTCTCATGCCACTGACCGCCCTGCACCAAACGCACTTGGCAGAAAGGTAAATGATGTGAGGAATAGTTAAGCTATTCTGCTTTAGAGCAAAGCCGTGTCTGCTTTGTATGAGTGGCTGGTTTCCCCTTAATATTTTTTGGGTAGGAGAGAAATGGGGGATGGAGAATCTGACAACAGGGTTATGGAAGTTTTCACTGCTTGATAACTGGTTTGCATCAGATATAAGCCGTAACCATTGCAATAGTCTTTAAAGTAAATTGGTGATCTCCGTGCAATTTTTAATGGAAAGACACATCACAAAAAGTTATCCCTGTCATTAACACCCCGGAGGTCTCACTTTGCAGACTGCAGGCAGCAATCAAAGATCATGTGACAAGGGACTAGACCATTTTTTTGGCAGTCTCAGGACAGGTGCAAAGGAGTGAATGGAAGTGGGGCCAAATTTGTTCTTTCACCCTTAGGAAGAGTACTTTCCTACTGGGACTGGTGCCTGCTGCTAAAGCAGCAGAGGGAACGACCACCTGTAATCCCTGTCAGGCCAGGCCTCTCTTGGTCTGCTAGCTGAACCGGTACAACCTGTTTCATGGTTGGGTTGTGGGGAATAAATTGGCACCCCCACCTGGGCTGTCACTCTGCCCGAAGAATCACCAATGATGCAAAGCAACTCAACTAACCTCAGCGGCGTGGAGGAGGGTTGTTACAGCATCTCGGGTGCCCCAGCAGTTGCAGCAGCCTCAGGACTGATCTGACCTGACCCACTTCTAATATAGGGCTTTTATATACTTATTATAGGTGCAAACGTGTACAAATGCCCGTAGTGTTTTGTCTTCCCATCTTAGCTGCTACCTGCTCTTTGAATGGCAGTGGTTCTTCCTGTGTGTAATTATGGGACTGGTAGAGCCTGCATAACTGGTATGAATTATGATATATAAAAAGGTATTATTAATTCAAAGTATATATAATACACCAAATTCATCCCTAATGTTGACTTTAATGGAACTACCCTGAGCATGTATTTAATGCATTATATAAAGAAAACCAAATGATACCGAATGCAAAACCCACACTGAGCTGTAGATTTTACTTCCACAGAATGACACCAGGGATGATTGAATGGAGGCCCGAAAGTGGTTTTAAAAACTTTGAATCTGAAGGTATACAAAACACCCATTTTATGCACCTAAGTGTCAGTCTGAAAGGGCTCAAACAAAAAAATTTGGTTGCACGCCCAGTGTTTGGGATCTGAATTCACCAGTCACAGGTACCAAATAATGTAGATTCATCTCTGTATCTGATCTGTATTTATACATACATTCATATAGTTACATACACACCATTTTGTTTCATGACCCACCAAATGGGAATTTGAGGTAAGAGTAGACTTTTATGCATTAGTTGGCTTACTTGTATCCAGCTAAAGGGCTGTACTTGACTATGTTTTGGGATATGTGTGGAGGAGGACGAATGTTCTTTGAAGCCAACATCAATTTTGTAGCACAAATAAGGCAAATGGTTGCCTGGGGCTACAAGATAAGGGGCAGTAAAATGTCCAGTACTAGTTTGTGCATTGGTAATGTGCCTGATCTCTTATTATTATCATTATTGTCATTGCTATTATCATTATGGAATTTGATTATTATCATTATCATTGTGGAAAGAGGCAGTCGGTGCTGTTTTATCCGGTTTCGTTGGAGGTGTAACATGCTGCTGAGTGTATTTATAATATAAAAGAAGAAAACAAGAAAAGATGCAATGATCATCCAGAGAAGACTGAACTGTGGAGCAGGATTTAAAATTACTGATGAAAAACGAGTTTACTTCAGAGTTTCCTGGGTTTGTAATGCTTGATTTTGGAATAATTATAACATCCTTGGAATGGCTTTTTAATTCTGAAGTTACTGTTGTGGACTGTCACGGTTTACCTTATTTTCAATGTGTCTTTAAAAGAAAATGTATTTATGAAAATAAACTGAGAAAAGGCAAATATAGATTGAGGAATAGAGAACGCTGATTGCCAAAGAAGTATCCCAGAGGAGACAAAGGTTGAAGCCTTTGTCTAGCAGACAAAGTACTAATCTGGGGGTTCTCAAACTTGTTGCAATTATGCTTTGTATATATGAAAAAAAGCAAATAAGATGGGGCTTCCCCCAGCTGTGTGTATAGATTCGTATTGAGCATCCCACAATGACCTTCTCTTGCACACAAAAGACATTTATTGCCTTTAACTTGACATAGGGTGGTCTGGGGCTGGAGTGCTGCTGTAAGTGGTATCAGAAATTCACCTCTGAACCCTTGCAGACGACGTGGGTCTCAGGGAGATATAGGATGAGAGGATGGACACGAAAGGCAGGGGGAACAAGGGGTTGGGGTGAAGAGGCAGGGGGCTAGGGGCTATGGAGCCCCATTCTGTTCTCACTGCCTGTTGGTTCCTGGAGACTATTCCCACTAGGAGTTTCTGCCTGTTTCCTCAATAGTTCATCCGGTCACAGAATCATAGAAAATGAGGGTTGGAGGGGACCTCAGGAGGTCACATCTAGTCCAAACCCCTGCTCAACGCAGGACCATCCCAGGTAGCAACATATTCCAGGATACAGCTGATGGCTCCCTTCTTCACCCACTCTTCTCCCCCTCGACACAGCAATGAGTCTAGATATCACAGAGGAGACACAGATTTTAAACCCAGGAGTTTCAGGCTTCTTCTACATGTATCTGCTTCACGTGCCTTAGGGCCGACTACCCAAAGAGTCATGCTTGCAGCCTGACTGCTGTATTTGACTTCCACTCGGCACTGGGAATACTTCAAAACTACAACTCCCAGATCCCCCTGCAAAACCCAGCATGACCTAATTGTAATAGTGGCTTCGGGAAATAAAAAAAATAAAATAAAATGTGGTTGCATTTATCAGAACTTATTATAGCAAGGGATTGAACAATTTTTTTTCCCCCAGACGGTCAAAGAACAAGTATTTCTAGAGTTTAAACAAACATTTTTAAAATATGAATAAGGAGAAAAGTAAAATCAAAATCAAATTAAAAGGAAGGCTAGATAGAGATTAGCATTGCCACTACTGATATTCTGAGAAGTCTAAAGAAATGAGCTAGAGGAGAGCCACAGAATCTCAAGTTTGATCCAAATGTCATAGTTTCAATATAGTTCATTGGTGTTTGGACCCAAAGTTTTATCCAAATCAGAACAAGTTGATGACCTGTGAAGAATTGCCACAGCATTTAAAAAGAGAGAGTCAAAACATCATCTTGCTGGGGTCCTTTGACCCCAGCTGACTTCATGCCCCTGGGTGGGGGGCTGGACTCGATGATCTTCCGAGGTCCCTTCCAGCCCCAGTGTCTATGAAATCTGTGTAAGCGAGGTTATAGGCTCATGGGCAGCGGGAAAAAGGATGGAAAATCCAGCAGCTGGAGACGAGTTTAAGAGGCATAATGAACAGAACACCTCTCTTATGAGAAAGGAAGCGAACAAAATATGAATATAAAAGGATTTAAATTATGTACTGTAATGACACAAAACCAGTCCATGAATTAAAATACTCTTTGCTTTTCTATTGTATTAGGATTAAATATATATATATATGGTATTCAGCCTAAGTACATCTTTCCTGTGGCTGTTATATATTTGGGGTTAGGAAAGAATTTTACCCCAGGGTCAGATTGGTATGGACTAGGAGGGGGTTCCCGTCCTCCATAGCGGAGGGTGGCCCTCGTCCTGGGGTCTCTCGAGCATGTGTTAACAAACTTTTACAGAAGCAGGATGTTGGCTGCTGTGGTCCCCCTCTTTACCGAGGCAGTTTTGGGGGTGATGCTTTGTGTTGTGTCAGTTGACTGTAAATTTGCTAAGACCTTAGACAATGGATTTGTACGGCGTGGTTTGCACAGGGCTGATCCTGCCTCAGGCAGGGGTTGGACTAGATGTGACCTCTGGAGGTCCCTTCCAGCCCCACTTCTCCAGGAGTGTAGGAGCGTGCAGT